CTGGCCGTGAGGTTGACCCTTTCTACAGACTGAAGACTTTCCTTTTATACACCTGATGAAGGTAGGATGTATTTTAGTAAGGTCTCTGGCCGTCCTGCCATCTGTCTGTGAGGCTGACATATCTACTTTTAAAATTAGGCTGAAAACTTTCTTTTTATATGCCTGATGAGGGCGGGATGTATGTTGGTATAGTCTTTGGCCCTCCCACTGTTTGTCCGTGAGGCTGACACATTATCTACTTTTAAGATTAGACTGAAGTCTTTGCTTTTATACGCCTGATGAAAGTGTATAATTTTTTTGGTAACCCGCCGTCTGTTCATACATCTGTTAGCTTTCTCTTTTCCAGGCCATAATCCACTCAAGCTGGGGCGACTGTGGCTGAGTGGTTAGAGCAGTCGTCCTCCAATGCAAGAGTTGGGGGTTCGAATCCAACAGCAATCACATGTCAAAGTGTCTCAGGGCAAGACACTGAACCCCTCATTGCTTCCGATGTGTGTTTCATCGGTGTATGAATGTGATAAAGCTGTGATTAGTCTCTTTAGAACGATTTGTTCAATTATCTTTGTAGAGATCTAGTAGAGCTGTATGAATGGGTAAATGAGGCACAGATTGTAGAGTAAAGTGCTTTGAGTGTCTCGATAAGGTAGAAAGGTGCTATATTAGTACAGTCCATTTACCATAGTTGAATGAACCTGATACCTTGCACCATCACTAGATCGAGTTTCACATACACTTTTCCCTGCTTTCCTTGCTTCAAATTCAAGGTCAAAAATCAAGGTCAAATGTCATACTTTGCTTGTTCAGGCTAGTGTTACAGAATGCTGTATTGCAGTTTGTTGACAAGTGTATGATGTGCCATATCAATGTTTCCCCTAGTTAACTTGCCATGGCCACTTCCTGTCCTCTCAAACCCAGCCGGTCGAAGCACATGGCCGCTTGTCCTGAGCCTGGTTTGCTGGAGGTTTCTTCCTGTTAAAAGGGAGTTGTTGTGAATGAATGATGCTGTCCACCTGCTTTCTTTGACAGACAACTGTAGCAGCTGGTGTTGTATGATGCATCTGATCTGAATAGTTTTGTGCAAACGTTTGTTGTGGATTGGCCCTTTTTAAATAAACTGAATGAAATTAACGTTCCTGGTGTGTGTGTGTGTGTGTGTGCGTGCGTGCGTGCGTGCGTGTCCCATATCATCCCTGTGCTGCAGGACAAGATGGGGAAGCAGAACAGCAAACTGACCCCTGAAGTTATGGAGGACCTGGTGAAGAACACGGAGTTCAATGAGCACGAGCTGAAGCAGTGGTACAAGGGATTCCTGAAGGACTGCCCCACCGGCCGGCTAAACCTGGATGAGTTCCAGCAGCTCTACGTCAAGGTGCAGCTCCACTCAGCCACTTTCACTTCATGCATTACACTTGTGTTGTGCGCTACAACACAACGCTGACGCTCATGTTTATGTGCTGAAGCATAATGTCAGATTAGACTCAAGCCCAGAAATCAAGCAGGGATCCAAGAGTCCAAGTCCAGAGTTGATTTGGATCAGAGTTCAGAGGTGAAGATGATACAAGATCTGCAAAGTCCAAAAGGCAGCTGGTGTAGAACCTGAGCCAGTTACAAAACAAGAACAAGCTGAGCAGATATTAATAAAACAGACAAAACAGGAAGTAAAATAAAACCTGAGACCCAGAAGGAACAATCCTGCTAGATGAAGCTGACCGAGACAACCTCAGCCTGCAGAACCTGCAGGACCTGATCTGCTGATCACAAATGAACCAAGTGTTAACACGTCACGTGTCTCACCTGATGTTTCTATATTTGTGATGTTTACACAACTGCAGTTTAAACTGAGATGTTTTGTAATTGTAGCTCGTACTAGTGTGATGACAATCACTCACTTTGAGATGTCTAAGCTTCCTTCAGTTTTTGAGAACATTCTTTTCTCCCACAAAATACACATTTTAGACAGTTGAAACATTAAAACAAGGTTTTTTTTTTTTTTTTTACCCAGAGTGTTTTTAACTTCTGTAGGACTTAAGCTTGTTTATACTCCATGAGAAGTGCTGACGGTGTGTCTTGCTGACGTGGTTGTGTAACAGTATTGTGTAGTATTGTGTAGTATTGTGCAGTATTTTTTTTTTTTTTTTTTTTTTTCATTTAGCCTTTATTTATCCAGTATTGTGCAGTATTGTGTAGTATTGTGCAGTGTTGTGTAGTATTGTGTAGTATTGTGCAGTATTGTGTAGTACTGTGCAGTATTGTGTAGTATTGTGTAGTATTGTGTAGTATTGTGCAGTATTGTGTAGTACTGTGCAGTATTGTGTAGTATTGTGTAGTATTGTGTAGTATTGTGCAGTATTGTGTAGTATTGTGTAGTATTGTGCAGTATTGTGTAGTATTGTGTAGTATTGTGTAATATTGTGCAGTATTGTGCAGTATTGTGTAGTATTGTGTAGTATTGTGCAGTAATGTGTAGTATTGTGCAGTATTGTGCAGTATTGTGTAGTATTATGCAGTATTGTGCAGTATTGTGCAGTATTGTGCAGTATTGTGCAGTATTGTGTAGTATTGTGCAGTATTGTGTAGTATTG